TGACCGATGGTACTCGCAACCCTCCCACGCCCTTGCTGGCTTGGAAAGAGGACCAGACAAGCGCAGCCACGTAACGCGGCGGAAGAAAAACTCTCGGAACGAGCGCTTTCACCCCCAAAACGCGGAAGGATCCGCACATGTGCACGAAGTGCAGCGCGCGCTCTTCATTCGCGAGCGCCGATGACCGATGATGCTCTCAACCCTCCCACGCCCTTGCTGGCTTGGCAAGAGGACCAGACAAGCGCAGCCACGTGACCCGGTGGAAGAAAATCGCTCGGAACGAGCGCTTTCACCCCCAAAACGCGGAAGGATCCGCACGCGTGCAGGAAGTGCAGTGGGCGCTCTTCATTTGCGAGCGCCGATGACCGATGATGCTCGCAACCCTCCCACGCCCTTGCTGGCTTGGCAAGCGTACCAGAAAAGCGTAGCCACGTGACCTGGCGGAAGAAAAACGCTCGGAACGAGCGCTAGTACCCCCAAAACGCGGAAGGATCCGCACACGTGCAGGAAGTGCAGCGGGCGCTCTTCATTTGCGAGCGCCGATGACCGATGATGCTCGCAACCCTTCCATACCCTTGCTGGCTTGGCAATAGGACCAGACAAGCGCAGCCTCGTGATCTGTTGGAAGAAAAACGCTCAGAATGAGCGCTACCACCCCCAAAACGCGGAAGGATCCGCACATGTGCACTAAGTGCAGCGGGCGCTCTTCATTCACGAGCGCCGATGACCGATGATGCTCGCAACCCTCCCACGCCCTTGCTGGCTTGGAAAGAGGACCAGACAAGCGCAGCCACGTGACCCGGCGGAAGAAAAACTCTCGGAACGAGCGCTTTCACCCCCAAAACGCGGAAGGATCCGCACATGTGCACGAAGTGCAGCGGCCGCTCTTCATTCGCGAGCGCCGATGACCGATTATGCTCACAACCCTCCCACGCCCTTGCTGGTATGGCAAGAGGACCGGACAAGCGCAGCCACGTGACTTGGCGGAAGAAAAACACTTGGAATGCGCGCTTCTACCCCCAAAAGCTGAAGGATCCGCATTCGTGCAGGAAGCGCAGGGGGCGCACTTTATTTGCGAGCGCCGATGACCGATGATGCTAGCAACCCTCCCACGCCCTTGCTGGCTTGGCAATAGGACCAGTCAAAGGCAGCAACGTGACCTGGCGGAAGAAAAACGCTCGGAACGAGCACTAGTTACCCCAAAACGCGGAAGGATCCGCACATGTGCACGAAGTGCAGCGGGTGCTCTTCATTCGCGAGCGCCGATGACCGATGATGCTCGCAACCCTCCCACGCCCTTGCTGGCTTGGCAAGAGGACCCGACAAGCGCAGCCACGTGACGTGGCGGAAGAAAAACGCTCGGAACAAGAGCTAGCGCGGAAGGATCCGCACATGTGCACGAAGTGCAGCGGGCGCTCTTCATTCGCGAGCGTCGATGACCGATGATGCTCGCAACCCTCCCACGCCCTTGCTGGCTTGGCAAGAGGACCATGCAAGCGCAGCCACGTGACTCAGTGGAAGAGAAACGCTCGGCACGAGCGCTAGTACCCCCATAACGCGAAAGGATTTCGCACACGTGCAGAAAGTGCAGCGGGCGCTCTTCATTCATGATCGCCGATGACCGATGATGCTCGCAACCCTCCCACGCCCTTGCTGGCTTGGCAAGAGGACCAGACAAGCGCAGCCACGTGACCCAATGGAAGAAAATCGCTCGGAACGAGCGCTTTCACCCCCAAAACGCGGAAGGATCCGCACACGTGCAAGAAGTGCAGCGGGCGCTCTTCATTCGCGAGCGCCGATGACCGATGATGCTCGCAACCCTTCCACGCCCTTGCTGGCTTGGAAATAGGACCAGAGAAGCACAGCCACGTGATCTGTTGGAAGAAAAACGCTCGGAATGAGCGCTACCACTCCCAAAACGCGGAAGGATCCGCACATGTGCACGACGTGCAGCGGGCGCTCTTCATTCGCGAGTGCCGATGACCGATGATGCTTGCAACCCTCCCACGCCCTTGCTGGCTTGGAAAGAGGACCAGACAAGCGCAGCCACGTAACCCGGCGGAAGAAAAACTCTCGGAACGAGCGCTTTCACCCCCAAAACGCGGAAGGATCCGCACATGTGCAGGAAGTGCAGCGGGCGCTCTTCATTCGCGAGCGCCGATGACCGATGATGATCACAACCCTCCCACGCCCTTGCTGGCTTGGCAAGAGGACCAGACAAGCGCAGCCACGTGATCTGTTGGAAGAAAAACGCTCGGAATGAGCGCTACCACCCCCAAAACGCGAAAGGATCCGCACATGTGCACTAAGTGCAGCGGGCGCTCTTCATTCGCGAGAGCCGATGACCGATGATGCTCGCAACCCTCCCACGCCCTTGCTGGCTTGGAAAGAGGACCAGACAAGCGCAGCCACGTGACCCGGCGGAAGAAAAACTCTCGGAACGAGCGCTTTCACCCCCAAAACGTGGAAGGATCCGCACATGTGCACGAAGTGCAGCGGCCGCTCTTCATTCGCGAGCGCCGATGACCGATTATGCTCACAACCCTCCCACGCCCTTGCTGGTATGGCAAGAGGACCGGACAAGCGCAGCCACGTGACTTGGCGGAAGAAAAACGCTTGGAATGCGCGCTTCTACCCCCAAAATGCTGAAGGATCCGCATTCGTGCAGGAAGTGCAGCGGGCGCACTTCATTTGCGAGCGCCGATGACCGATGATGCTGGCAACCCTCCCACGCCCTTGCTGGCTTGGCAGTAGGACCAGTCAAACGCAACAACGTGACCTGGCGGAAGAAAAACGCTCGGAACGAGCGCTAGTACCCCCAAAACGCGGAAGGATCCGCACATGTGCACGAAGTGCAGCGGGCGCTCTTCATTCGCGAGCGCCGATGACCGATGATGCTCGCAACCCTTCCACGCCCTTGCTGGCTTGGAAATAGGACCAGAGAAGCGCAGCCACGTGATCTGTTGGAAGAAAAACCCTCGGAATGAGCGCTACCACCCCCACCACGCTGAAGGATCCGCACATGTGCACTAAGTGCAGCGGGCGCTCTTCATTCGCGAGCGCCGCTGACCGATGATGCTTGCAACCCTCCCACGCCCTTGCTGGCTTGGAAAGAGGACCAGACAAGCGCAGCCACGTAACCCGGCGGAAGAAAAACTCTCGGAACGAGCGCTTTCTCCCCAAAACGCGGAAGGATCCGCACATGTGCACGAAGTGCAGCGGGCGCTCTTCATTCGCGAGCGCCGATGACCGATGATGATCACAACCCTCCCACGCCCTTGCTGGCTTGGCAAGAGGACCAGACAAGCGCAGCCACGTGACTTGGCGGAAGAAAAACGCTTGTAATGAGCGCTTCTACCCCCAAAATACTGAAGGATCCGCACATGTGCACGAAGTGCAGCGGGCGCTCTTCATTCGCGAGCGCCGATGTCCGATGATGCTCGCAACCCTCCCACACTCTTGCTGGCTTGGCAATAGGACTAGACAAGCGCAGCCACGTGACCCGGTGGAATAAAAAACGCTCGGCACGAGTGCAAGTACCCCCAAAACGCGGAAGGATCCGCACTCGTGCAGGAAGTGCAGCGGGCGCTCTTCATTTGCGAGCGCCGATGACCGATGATGCTCGCAACCCTCCCACGCCCTTGCTGGCTTGGCAATAGGACCAGACAAGCGCAGCCATGTTACCTGGCGGAAGAAAAATGCTCGAAACGAGCGCTTCTACCGCCAAAATACTGAAGGATCCGCACATGTGCACGAAGTGCAGCGGGCGCTCTTCATTCGCGAGCTCCGATCACTGATGCTGCTCGCAACCCTCCCACGCCCTTGCTGGCTTGGCAATAGGACCAAACAAGCGCAGCCACATGACCCGGCGGAAGAAAAACGCTCGGAATGAGCGCTTTCACCCCCAAAACGCGGAAGGATCCGCACATGTGCAGGAAGTGCAACGGGCGCTCTTCATTCGCGAGCGCCGATGACCGATGATGCTCGCAACCCTCCCACGCCCTTGCTGGCTTGGCAAGAGGACCAGACAAGTGCAGGCACGTGACCCGGTGGAAGAAAATCGCTCGGAAAAGGCGCTTCTGGCCTCAAAACGTGCAAGGATCTGCACATGTGCAGGAAGTGCAGCGGGCGCTCTTCCTTCGCGAGCGCCGATGACCAACGATGCTCGCAACCCTCCCACTCCCTTGCTGGCTTGGCAATAATCCCAGACAAGCGCAGTCACGTGACCCGGTGGAAGAAAAACGCTCGGAACGAGCGCTTCTAGCCTCAAAACGCGCAAGGATCCGCACATGTGCAGGAAGTGCAGCGGGCGCTCTTCATTTGCGAGCACTGATGACCAATGATGGTCGCAACCACCCCACGCCCTTGCTGGCTTGGCAATAGGCCCAGACAAGTGCATCCACGTGCGGGAGAATGGGGCGGGGTGATGGAAAGCGGGAGAATGGGGCGGGGTGATAGAAAGCGGGAGACACAAACAATGATGACAATTCGCTAACACAAACCGCTTCCGACGTCAGTACAGTTCCATGGCGATGACAATGACAATGCTTCAGCCATGGCGGACACGAGGAGTTTCAGGATGGCCAATGCCTAGCAATTTCTTGCACGATCCTAACAATGATGTTATCAAACGATGCGGGATACTGAGCTCTACACTAAGGTCTACTTTTAATGTCCAAAACGGGGACATTGGTATGGCATTGTTGAGTTCCAGGCATCAGGATACATCCCAAGGTTCCCAACGCAAGAAGCTACTATCAAGGTTCCTGACATCCCAAGGTCTCCATGGATTTCAACGCGACTTTCCTGACTCTCACCAAGGTTTCCATGAATTTCCAAGGTTACAATCTGTCTTTGGGACCAAGGCGACACCTGGAACAGTCATGCACCAGGGGATCAGATGCAAGGGTGATCATCATAAAAAGAAAGCTACGTTCGTGCTCAGACCACTTTTCGTTTCAGCTATCCTCAAGCTGATCGGTGGCTTTCATCATTGCACAATGCCGAGGGTTCCGAGGTCCAATGCGGTGAAGACGACCAAGGCTAATGGTCTCGACAATGACAATGTCAACAACACTCCCCCGCCGTCTCCGCTGAAGGATGGTCTATCGCAGCAACCGTCTGACAAACCGCTGCCAGGAATGTCAACGGATCTGCCGTTGAAGATGCCGGGAGTTTCTGCTGAAGAAGACAAGTCAATGGAGAAAAGGAAAGGAGTTGAAGAGGTTAACGCGAATGATGCGGCCAACACCTACGGGGTTACCAACCGGGTCAACACGGGAGATGCTGACGACTCAGATGGAGAAACGGCAGCAGAGGAACTAGATCCTGAAAAAGAGGGGGATGGCTACCTCAGTGATGACTCGGATGAGATGTTTGACCCGGTTGTCGCTGCTGATATTGCCTCTCAGACGAAAATCTCGCTAACGCTGCTGGTGACTGTTAACAGGATCGCGGAAGTCCCGCGTACTAAGGCCACTATTGTCGCGCTGCTGGACGACTGCAAAGAGCACTTGTCACCTGATGTTTTGCAGACTACAACTTATCAGAAGCTGCTGCCGACGTTTTTCTCCCGTCAGAAGTTTGGAAGGCTGCAGGTTACTTTTAACAATGCTCGAGATGCGGAGTTTGTGCGGGACCAAGTCATTGATCATGAATGCGTGGACGACAAGTTTGTGAAGTTTACCTGGCAGTTCCCTGAGAACGCTAGCTTTCTCAAGGAACGCTCGGCTAACCCGACGGCGATTGAAGTGGTGCTTAAGGCGGTACCTGCTGAGATCTCACCGGAGATGTTTCGCCGTATGCTGGTTGAGGCTGTGATGGTTAGGAGGGGTAAGAGTGCTTTCGCAAGTGGATTTGGTTTTCACCGGACGGTTGACCCTGTCTCCGGCATGGATACTGACCGTATCAAAGGCTTGGTCATCCCACATGCCGCTGATGGGTACCGCTGGCTGCACGCGGTGGTGTTTAAGTCCCTGCCAGGAAGGAAATTCCTCATTCATTACCCGAGCGTCAGCTGCGATTTCTGCGAGGGACAGCATTTGACTCGTTATCATGATGACTACGTCACCCCAAGACATGACAACATGAGCCGTTGGAACCTTACGGTAGCTAAGGCTCACAGATTCAACGGTACAGGGAATGTTCAGCTCACCTCAGTTTCGCGTCCAGTTTTTCTGCTTGCTGCTGATCATACTGACCTCACCGTATGCGAACTCTCTCGCCGCGGCCTCGCTGAAAATCTCAGATCTGTTGAAGCGCATCCTCAAAGATCCGGCCTTGGTGCTGGTCTCGACGGGAGGGCTGAGAGAGGAGTGGATCTGCGTCCAGGCGGCATGCGAGAAGGCACAGGGTACCCGTTTTGAACAGGCATCAGCGCACATCGCCTCAGCACGACACAGGGGGGGGTTGCGCAAGCCAGGTTCTGCAACACGTGAGGCAAAAGGCTCTCAGAAGCTGAGCGATTTCAAGAAGGATTTTGGGAAGAAGCTGGAGAAGTAAGGAAAGATGTAAGGAATGAGGAACCGTGCAGTAGCGGAATGACTGGAGTCATAGTAGGAGGAGTTACCTGTGTAGGAGGTGTGTTGGCAGTGGTGCTGTCTTTTGCTGTAGCAGTCTGCATCTCGTCAGTGAAGTCTTTAAGCCCGTGGATGCTGTGGGGCTCCAGCAGGTTGACAAATGGATAAAAACCACAAACTTACCTTTCTGGAGCTCAATGTCAATGGGCTCGGCAGCAACGGCAAGAGAGAGAGAGGTGTGGTTACTGGATCACGAAAGCAGCTCACATAGTAACGTTAACGGATACCAGGATTCCTGCAGATCATAATTTCTGGAGTCAGCTGAAACCAGACGCGGTAGCAGCAGTCTCTCCGGATCAGAGAGCGAGCGGGGTGGCTATTCTGGGTTTCGCACCTGGGATTCGGTTTCAGGACGTGGTCAGCCATGAATCAGGGAGGCTCCTCAGCGCTACTTTCACATGGCAGCAGCAGGTGTACAGGGTTGTCGCCGCATATTTCCCAGCGCAATCCACTTGTAGAGGGGAGTTTTTCAGGGATGTTTTGACGCCTTTCATACACAGCCTACCGTCAACAACTCACACCATCTTCATGGGAGATCTAAACATCGTCGGAGACCCGGACTTGGACAAGTCATCCAGGCTCGGGTCCCCGGCTGAGAACCAGCGTCTCTTACAGATCTGCAGCAGCTGGAACCTGCAAGATAGTTTTAGGACACTGCACCCAACGCGGAAGGAGTACACGTTTTTCTCAAGATCGGCAAAGGTCAGCACGAGAATGGACAGGATCCTGGTGTCAAGCACGCTGATTGGCCACGCGACGGAAGCTAAGCATAAGATGGTCCCGGCTGGCATCACGGATCACTGGTTTGCAATACATATGACGGTCCAAGCGGCGGTACCTGGTGGAGGGGGTCCCGGGCTCTGGAGGCTGCAGATGACACAAGCAGGAGAAGCAGGAACAAAAAAGATCATTGAAGCGGTACTGAATGAGCACCAGTCGCATCTGGAGCAGCCGTTCGATGGTCTTTTGCTGAACCTGAAGGCGAGTCTGAGAGCGCATACAGCAGAGGAAAGGAAGCGGGTGAAGGCGACGATCCTGCACCTGGAGGGCAAGGTGGTGAGACTCAGGAGGCTTCTGATGTCGAACCCGACGGGGCCAGGATTGTACGAGGAGCTGATCAAACATGAGGCGGCGCTGAAGGGGTATCAGGAAAAAACGAAAGTTAGGCTGCAGGTGATGACGGGGATGTCGGTGGAGCTGGCGAGTGAGGCACCGCTGGCTACCTTTCAGGCCTGATAAAGTCGAGGAAAGAGAAAACAGAGATTAAAGGAGTGGTGTGCAATGGCCAGGCGATTACAGGCGCGAGAGAAGTGCTGGCAGCGGCGACAATTTTTTTCAAAGAATCTTACGCAGCTCCTCACGGTCAGCAAGAGAGTAATGCGGGAAGCTGGGAGGTGGAAGAGGACAAGCGTCTGCTGGAATGTGATAAGGCGCTGCTTACGAAATCATGGTCGGAGGAGGAAGTGAAGACAGCACTTCGTGAGCTACCAGCGGGAAAGGCGCCGGGACAGGATGGACTGCCGAAAGAGCTGTTTGATAAAAACTGGGAGCTGTTGGGGAAGGAGCTGATGAAGCTGATCAACAACTTTGAAAAAGACGCGGTTATGCCAGAAGCTTTCATGACGGCGGTGACTATCCTGTTACACAAGAAAGGAGACAGGGAGCAGTTGGGGAACTACAGACCAATTACTTTGCTCAGTGTGGTGTATAAGCTGATCGCGAAAATCCTGGCCAACAGAATTAAGAAGGTGCTACCGAGGGTGATATCAGAGCATCAGTTTGGTTTCTTACCGGGGAGGCGGCTAGCGGATGCAGTCTCGATAGTGGCAGACGTAGTCGATGCGGCAGCGGAAGGAGATGAGGACTGGCTCTTGCTTCTGGTTGACTTTCAAAAGGCATACGACTCGGTCTCGAGAGAATTTCTCTTTCGCACGATGGACAAGATGGGTTTTCCCAAGGAGTTCATCGCCTGGACAAAGGGACTGCATGATGGAGCGGGCACACGGATGTTAGTAAATGGATGGATGGGAGAAAGGGTAGCGATGGAAAAAGGGGTTCGGCAGGGGTGCCCCTTGGCTCCTTACCTGTTCCTATGCGCGGCGGAACCTCTGTGTCAGGAGGCGAGGAGGAGGAATCTTGGGATCAGGAAAAGAGGATTCGGGGGCCTGACGTATGTGGGGTATGCGGACGATACGACCCTGGCGTTGGGGGGCAAAGAGCAAGTGGACACGGCCAAGAAGCTGTTAGACGATTTCGGACAGGTCTCGGGCTTGTACATCAACCAGGAGAAAACAAAACTGTTACCACTGGGGAAAAACAGGAGAAGACAGCAACCTACTGACTCACCTTTCAAATGGGCGGCAAGCAATGAGCCGGAACGGTTGCTGAGTATCTGGATCACACCGAACGGATCGCCGGAGCCGTCTTGGTATAAGGCGTTTGAACGGATGTGCGGAGAGCTGAGCAATTGGGATGAGAAACACCTGACGACCTCGGCGAGGGTTACAATCGTGAACAGTTATGCGATGCCAATTCTGCTGTTCCAGGCGCTGGTGTACGCGCCTCCGCACGAGATATGGCTGAAAGTAAAGCGGATCTGCCATAACTTCATATCGAAAGGAAAAGCGTCTTTTGACAGATTTTTCATCCTGTGGAGCTATGAGCTTTCCTGCAGAGGACGGAAGGAAGGGGGGCTTGGCGTAATAGACCCGAAGGAGAGATTGGGGAGTATTGCGATCCACAACATTGGAAGAGGAGCGACGGCGACAGACCCGTTCAGGAACTGGCTTTGGGAGAAGGCAGCAGGTTTCCCGCAAGGGCTTGCGACGATCTATGCGCACCCCGCCATCCTACATCACTGGTTAAAAGGGGGGGTGAGATGGAAGGCAACGGTGGAGGCTCTCTGGGAGACAAAGAAGGAGGTGATCAGGGAAACTTCGAACAGATGGGAAGCGGAGGGAGAACATCTGCTCTTCAATCGGAAAATTTTCTTCAGAGGAAAATCCCCGTTCGGAAAGCAGAAGGGATCAGTTTGCCTGGTGGGAATCACGCTTCGAAATCTGATTGAAAAGGAAGCGGACGGCACCAGAAGAGTCAAAGAAGAGGCGACACTGGATAGGGAGCTGGGAGGTGAAGAGCAGAGAAAATGGGCGTTGAAGGCATTTGAAGCAACGCGGTCAGAATGGAAGGAAATTATTCTAAGGCCTCTCACCGCGGAGGAAGTTTTCGGAGCTGCGAAGCTGATAAGGACCAACTCATACCGTCCCGGCGAGTTTCTTTACTACAGACTGCTGTACACGGCCAATGGCAGATTGTACGGGAAAAGGGTGACGGTGGAAGCAGGAGGAAAGGTCAAAGAGGTGCGCTATGCTAGTGCGACGGAGGTGAACTGGAAGACGGCGACACCGATGGTAGAGATAAGAGGCGCCATGAAGGGCCGGCTGGGAGAGCAAAGGACGAGGTTGCTGCAGTCGAGACTCTGCGAGGAGGGCAAGCCTGCCGAGTTGCGTGTTCTGAGGAAGATGCTGAAACCCCAACTCACGAAGCCGAAACAACAGCTGCAGTGGGAGAAAGATTGGGGGAAGCCCGTTGATTGGAAGAGGGCGATTGAGACAAGAGACTCGCTGGCGACGCCAGCCCGGGCGAGGGAAGTGATTCTACGGGCACACAACAAAAATCTGCAAGTGGGTGAAAGGCTCCCTTTCCTGGGGGCACGCGCCAACTGTATTCACTGCGGGGAAATGGAGACGCTTGACCACTGCATTTTGGACTGCCCGAGAGTGAAGCCGGTAACAGAGGTGGTGCAGAGGGCGCTCCAGCTGATGAACCCAGCGCGACAAGGGGGGACAGTGGGAGACCTACTGTTCCAAGAAACATGCACGAAATCAGGTTTTCCGGAAGCCTCATTAATAGCCACGGCATCGCATCAAGTGTGGCTGGAAAGATGTAACGCGATTCCATCACCCCGCCCCATTCTCCCGCTTTCCATCACCCAGCCCCATTCTCCCTCCTTCCGTCACCCCGTCCCATTCTCCCTCCTTCCATCACCCCGCCCCATTCTCCCTCCTTCCATCACCCCGCCCCATTCTCCCGCTTTCCATCACCCCCTTCCACTCTCCCGCTTTCCATCACCCCGCCCCATCATCCCGCTTTCCATCAACCCGCCCTATTCTCCCGCTTTCCATCACGCCGCCCCATTCTCCCGCCTTCCATCAACCCGTCCTATTCTCCCGCTTTCCATCACCTCGCCCCATTCTTCCTCCATCCATCACCCCGCCCCATTCTCCCTCCTTCCATCACCCCGCCCCATTCTCCCGCTTTCCATCACCCCGCCCCATTCTTCCGCTTTCCATCACCCCGCCCCATTCTCCCGCTTTCCATCACCCCGCCCCATTCTCCCGCTTTCCATCACCCAGCCCCATTCTCCCGCTTTCCATCACCCCGCCCCATTCTTCCTCCTTCCATCACCCCGCCCCATTCTCCCGCTTTCCATCACCCGCCCCATTCTCCCGCTTTCCATCACCACGCCCCATTCTCCCGCTTTCCATCACCCCGCCCCATTCTCCCTCCTTCCATCACCCCGCCCATTCTCCCTCCTTCCATCAACCCGGCCCATTCTCCCGCTTTCCATCACCCCGCCCCATTCTCCCGCTTTCCATCACCTCGCCCCATTCTCCCGCTTTCCATCACCCCGCCCCATTCTCCCGCTTTCCATCACCCCGCCCCATTCTCCCGCTTTTCATCACCCCGCCCAATTCTCCCTCTTTCCATAACCCCGCCCCATTCTCACTCTTTCCATCACCCCGCCCCATTCTCCCTCTTTCCATCACCCCGGCCCATTCTCCTGCTTTCCATCACCCCGCCCCATTCTCCCGCTTTCCATCACCTCGCCCCATTCTCCCGCTTTCCATCACCCCGCCCCATTCTCCCGCTTTCCATCACCCCGCCCCATTCTCCCGCTTTTCATCACCCCGCCCAATTCTCCCTCTTTCCATAACCCCGCCCCATTCTCACTCTTTCCATCACCCCGCCCCATTCTCCCTCTTTCCATCACCCCGGCCCATTCTCCTGCTTTCCATCACCCCGCCCCATTCTCCCGCTTTCCATCACCTCGCCCCATTCTCCCGCTTTCCATCACCCCGCCCCATTCTCCCGCTTTCCATCACCCCGCCCCATTCTTCCTCTTTCCATCACCCCGCCCCATTCTCCCTCTTTCCATCACCGCGCTCCATTCTCCCGCTTTCCATCACCCGCCCCATTCTCCCGCTTTCCATCACCACGCCCCATTCTCCCGCTTTCCATCACCCCGCCCCATTCTCCCTCCTTCCATCACCCCGCCCATTCTCCGTCCTTCCATCAACCCGGCCCATTCTCCCGCTTTCCATCACCCCGCCCCATTCTCCCGCTTTCCATCACCTCGCCCCATTCTCCCGCTTTCCATCACCCCGCCCCATTCTCCCGCTTTCCATCACCCCGCCCCATTCTCCCGCTTTTCATCACCCCGCCCAATTCTCCCTCTTTCCATAACCCCGCCCCATTCTCACTCTTTCCATCACCCCGCCCCATTCTCCCTCTTTCCATCACCCCGGCCCATTCTCCTGCTTTCCATCACCCCGCCCCATTCTCCCGCTTTCCATCACCTCGCCCCATTCTCCCGCTTTCCATCACCCCGCCCCATTCTCCCGCTTTCCATCACCCCGCCCCATTCTTCCTCTTTCCATCACCCCGCCCCATTCTCCCTCTTTCCATCACCGCGCTCCATTCTCCCGCTTTCCATCACCCCGCCCCATTCTCCCGCTTTCCATCACCCCGCCCCATTCTCCCTCCTTCCATCACCCCGCCCATTCTCCCTCCTTCCATCAACCCGGCCCATTCTCCCGCTTTCCATCACCCCGCCCCATTCTCCCGCTTTCCATCACCTCGCCCCATTCTCCCGCTTTCCATCACCCCGCCCCATTCTCCCGCTTTCCATCACCCCGCCCCATTCTCCCGCTTTTCATCACCCCGCCCAATTCTCCCTCTTTCCATAACCCCGCCCCATTCTCACTCTTTCCATCACCCCGCCCCATTCTCCCTCTTTCCATCACCACGCCCCATTCTCCCGCTTTCCATCACCCCGCCCCATTCTCCTGCTTTCGATCACCCTGCCCCATTCTCCCTCTTTCCATCACCCCGCCCCATTCTCCCTCTTTCCATCACCCCGCCCCATTCTCCCGCTTTCCATCACCCCGCCCCATTCTCCTTCTTTCCATCACCCCGCCCCATTCTCCCGCTTTCCATCACCCCGCCCCATTCTCCCTCTCTCCATCACCCCGCCCCGTTTTCCCTCTTTCCATCACCCCGCCCCATTCTCCCTCTTGCCATCACCCCGCCCCATTCTCCCTTTTTCCATCACCCCACCCCATTCTCCCTCCTTCCATCATCCCGCCCCATTCTTCCTCTTTCCATCACCCCACCCGATTCTCCCGCTTTCCATCACCCCGCCCCATTCTCCCGCTTTCCATCACCACGCCCCATTCTCCCGCTTTCGATCACCTCGCCCCATTCTCCCGCTTTCCATCACCCTGCCCCATTCTCCCTCTTTCCATGACCCCGCCCCATTCTCCCTCCTTCCATCACCCCGCCCCATTCTCCCGCCTTCCATCACCCCGACCCATTCTCCCGCTTTCCATCACCCCGCCTCATTCTCCCGCTTTCCATCACCCCGCCCCATTCTCCCGCTTTCCATCACCCCGCCCCATTCTCCCTCTTTCCATCACCCCGCCCCATTCTCCCTCTTTCCATCACCCCGCCCCATTCTCCCGCTTTCCATCACCCCGCCCCATTCTCCCGCTTTCCATCACTCCGCCCCTTTCTCCCGCTTTCCATCACCCCGCCCCATTCTCCCTCTTTCCATCACCCCGTCCCTTTCTCCCGCTTTCCATCACCCCGCCCCATTCTCCCTCTTTCTATCACCCCGACCTATTCTCCCGCTTTCCATCACCCCGCCCCATTCTCCCTCTTTCCATCACCCCCACCCATTCTCCCTCTTTCCATAACCCCCCCCCATTCTCACTCTTTCCATCACCCCGCCCCATTCTCCTTCTTTCCATCACCCCGCCCCATTCTTCCGCTTTCCATCACCCCGCCCCATTCTCCTGCTTTCGATCACCCCGCCCCATTCTCCCTCTTTCCATCACCCCGCCCCATTCTCCCTCTTTCCATCACCCCGCCCCATTCTCCCGCTTTCCATCACCCCGCCCCATTCTCCTTCTATCCATCACCCCGCCCCATTCTCCCGCTTTCCATCACCCCGCCCCATTCTCCCTCTCTCCATCACCCCGCCCCGTTTTCCCGCTTTCCATCACCCCGCCCCATTCTCCCTCTTTCCATCACCCCGCCCCATTCTCCCTCTTTCCATCACCCCGCCCCATTCTCCCTCTTTCCATCACCCCGCCCCATTCTCCATCTTTCCATCACCCCGCCCCATTCTCCCTCTCTCCATCACCCCGCCCCATTCCACCTCTTTCCATCACCTCGCCCCATTCTCCCGCTTTCCATCACCCCGCCCCATTCTCCCGCTTTCCATCACCCCGCCCCATTCTCCCGCTTTCCATCACCCCGCCCCATTCTCCCGCTTTCCATCACCCCGCCCCATTCTCCCGCTTTCCATCACCCCGCCCTATTCTCCCTCTTGCCATCACCCCGCCCCATTCTCCCTCTTGCCATCACCCCGCCTTATTCTCCTGCTCTCCATCACCCCGCCCCATTCTCCCGCTCTCCATCACCCCGCCACATTCTCCCTCTCTCCATCACCCCGCCACATTCTCCCGCTCTCCATCACCCCGCCCCATTCTCCCGCTCTCCATCACCCCGCCCTATCCTCCCGCTTTCCATCACCCCGACCCATTCTCCCGCTTTTCATCACCCCGCCCCATTCTCCCGCTTTCCATCACCCCACCCCATTCTCCCGCTTTCCATCACCCTGCCCCATTCTCCCTCTTTCCATCACCCCGCCCCATTCTCCCTCTTTCCATCACCCCGCCTCATTCTCCCTCTTTCCATCACCCCGCCCCATTCTCCATCTTTCCATCACCCCGCCCCATTCTCCCTATTTCCATCACCCCGCCCCATTCTCCCTCTTTCCATCACTCCGCCCTATTCTCCCTCTTTCCATCACCTCGCCCCATTCTCCCGCTTTCCATCACCCCGCCCCATTCTCCCGCTTTCCATCACCCCGCCCCATTCTCCCGCTTTCCATCACCCCGCCCCATTCTCCCGCTTTCCATCACCCCGCCCCATTCTCCCGCTTTCCATCACCCCGGCCCATTCTCCCGCTTTCCATCACCCCGCCCCATTCTCCCGCTTTCCATCACCCCGCCCCATTCTCCCTCTTGCCATCACCCCGCCCCATTCTCCCTCTTGCCATCACCCCGCCTTATTCTCCTGCTCTCCATCACCCCGCCCCATTCTCCCGCTCTCGATCACCCCGCCCCATTCTCCCGCTCTCCATCACCCCGCCCCATTCTCCCGCTCTCCATCACCCCGCCACATTCTCCCTCTCTCCATCACCCCGCCACATTCTCCCGCTCTCCATCACCCCGCCCCATTCTCCCGCTCTCCATCACCCCGCCCTATCCTCCCGCTTTCCATCACCCCGACCCATTCTCCCGCTTTTCATCACCCCGCCCCATTCTCCCGCTTTCCATCACCCTGCCCCATTCTCCCGCTTTCCATCACCCCGCCCCATTCTCCCTCTTTCCATCACCCCGCCCCATTCTCCCACTTTCCATCACCCCGCCCCATTCTCCCACTTTCCATCACTCCGCCCCTTTCTCCTGCTTTCCATCACCCCGCCCCATTCTCCCTCTTTCCATCACCCCGCCCCTTTCTCCCTCTTTCCATCACCCCGCCCCATTCTCCCTCTTTCCATCACCCCGCCCCATTCTCCCTCTTTCCATCACCCCGCCCCATTCTCCCTCTTTCCATCACCCCGCCCCATTCTCCCTCTCTCCATAACCCCGCACCATTCTCCCTCTTTCCATCACCCCGCCCCATTCTCCCTCCTTCCATCACCCCGCCCCATTCTCCCTCCTTCCATCACCCCGCCCCATTCTCCCTCTTTCCATCACCCCGCCCCATTCTCCCGCTTTCCATCACCCCGCCCCATTCTCCCACTTTCCATCACTCCGCCCGTTTCTCCCGCTTTCTATCACCCCGCCCCATTCTCCCTCTTTCCATCACCCCGTCCCTTTCTCCCGCTTTCCATCACCCCGCTCTATTCTCCCGCTTTCCATCACCCCGCCCCATTCTCCCTCTTTCCATCACTCCGCCCCATTCTCCCTCTTTCCATCACCCCGCCCGATTCTCCCGCTTTCCATCACCCCGCCTCATTCTCCCTCTTTCCATCACCCCGTCCCTTTCTCCCTCTTTCCATCACCCCGCCCCATTCTCCCTCTTTCCATCACCCCGCCCCATTCTCCCTCTTTCCATCACCCCGCCCCATTCTCCCTATTTCCATCACCCCGCCCCATTCTCCCTCTCTCCATAACCCCGCCCCATTCTCCCTCTTTCCATCACCCCGCCCCATTCTCCCTCCTTCCATCACCCCGCCCCATTCTCCCTCTTTCCATCACCCCGCCCCATTCTCCCGCTTTCCATCACCCCGCCCCATTCTCCCGCTTTCCATCACTCCGCCCCTTTCTCCCGCTTTCCATCACCCCGCCCCATTCTCCCTCTTTCCATCACCCCGTCCCTTTCTCCCGCTTTCCATCACCCCGCTCTATTCTCCCGCTTTCCATCACCCCGCCCCCTTCTCCCTCCTTCCATCACCCCGCCCCATTCTCCCTCTTTCCATCACCCCGCCCCATTCTCCCTCTTTCCATCACCCCGCCCCATTCTCCCTCTTTCCATCACCCCGCCCCATTCTCCCTCTTTCCATCACCCCGCCCCATTCTCCCTCTTTCCATCACCCCGCCCCATTCTCCCTCTTTCCATCACCCCGCCCCATTCTCCCTCCTTCCATCACCCCGCCCCATTCTCCCTCTTTCCATCACTCCGCCCCGTTCTCCCTCTTTCCATCACCCCGCCCGATTCTCCCGCTTTCCATCACCCCGCCCCATTCTCCCGCTCTCCATCACCACGCCCCATTCTCCCGCTTTCCATCACCCCGCCCCATTCTCCCTCTCTCCATCACCCCGCCCCGTTTTCCTGCTTTCCATCACCCCGCCCCATTCTCCCTCTTGCCATCACCCCGCTCCATTCTCCCTCTTGCCATCACCCCGCCCCATTCTCCCTCTCTCCATCACCCCGCCTCATTCTCCTGCTTTCCATCACCTCGCCTCATTCTCCCGCTTTCCATCACCCCACCCCATTCTCCCTCTTTCCATCACCCCACCCCATTCTCCCGCTTTCCATCACCCCGCCCCATTCTCCCGCTTTCCATCACTCCGCCCCTTTCTCCCGCTTTCCATCACCCTGCCCCATTCTCCCTCTTTCAATCACCCCGTCCCTTTCTCCCGCTTTCCATCACCCCGCCCCATTCTCCCTCTTTCTATCACCCCGCCCTATTCTCCCGCTTTCCATCACCCCGCCCCATTCTCCCGCTTTCCATCACCCCGCCCCATTCTCCCTCTTTCCATCACCCCGCCCCATTCTCCCTCTTTCCATCACCCCGCCCCATTCTCCCGCTTTCCATCACCCCGCCCCATTCTCCCGCTTTCCATCACCCCGCCCCATTCTCCCTCCTTCCATCAACCCGCCCCATTCTCCCGCTTTCCATCACCCCACCCCATTCTCCCGCTTTCCATCACCCCGCCCCAATCTCCCGCTTTCCATCACCCCGCCCCATTCTCCCACTTTCCATCACCCAGCCCCATTCTCCCTCCTTCCATCACCCCGCCCCATTCTCCCTACTTCCATCACCCAGCCCCATTCTCCCTCCTTCCATCACCCCGCCCCATTCTCCCTCCTTCCATCACCCCGCCCCATTCTCCCTCCTTCCATCACCCCGCCCCACTCTCCCGCTTTCCGTCACCCCCTTCCACTCTCCCGCTTTCCATCACCCTGCCCCATCATCCCGCTTTCCATCACCCCGCCCCATTCTCCCGCTTTCCATCACCCCGCCCCATTCTCCCTCTTTCCATCACCCCGCCCCATTCTCCCTCTTTCCATCACCCCGCCCCATTCTCCCGCTTTCCATCACCCCGCCCCATTCTCCCGCTTTCCATCACCCCGCCCCATTCTCCCTCCTTCCATCAACCCGCCCCATTCTCCCGCTTTCCATCACCCCACCCCATTCTCCCGCTTTCCATCACCCCGCCCCAATCTCCCGCTTTCCATCACCCCGCCCCATTCTCCCGCTTTCCATCACCCAGCCCCATTCTCCCTCCTTCCATCACCCCGCCCCATTCTCCCTACTTCCATCACCCAGCCCCATTCTCCCTCCTTCCATCACCCCGCCCCATTCTCCCTCCTTCCATCACCCCGCCCCATTCTCCCTCCTTCCATCACCCCGCCCCACTCTCCCGCTTTCCGTCACCCCCTTCCACTCTCCCGCTTTCCATCACCCTGCCCCATCATCCCGCTTTCCATCAACCCGCCCTATTCTCCCGCTTTCCGTCACGCCACCCCATTCTCCCGCTTTCCATCAACTCGTCCTATTCTCCCGCTTTCCATCACCCCGTCCCATTCTCCCTCCTTCCATCACCCCGCCCCATTCTCCCTCCTTCCATCACCCCGCCCCATTCTCCTGCTTTCCATCAACCCGCCCCATTCTCCCGCTTTCCATCACCCCGCCCCATTCTCCCGCTTTCCATCACCCCGCCCCATTCTCCTGCTTTTCATCAACCCGCCCCATTCTCCCGCTTTCCATCACCCCGCCCCATTCTCCCTCCTTCCATCACCCCGCCCCATTCTCCCGCTTTCCATCAACCCGGCCCATTCTCCCGCTTTCCATCGCCCCGCCCCATTCTCCCGCTTTCCATCGCCCCGCCCCATTCTCCCTCCTTCCATCACCCCGCCCCATTCTCCCTCCTTCCATCACCCCGCCCCATTCTCCCGCCTTCCATCAACCCGCCCCATTCTCCCGCTTTCCATCCTCCCGCCCCATTCTCCCACTTTCCATCGCCCTGCCCCATTCTCCCGCTTTCCATCGCCCCGCCACATTCTCCCTCCTTCCATCACCCCGCCCCATTCTCCCTCCTTCCATCACCCCGCCCCATTCTCCCGCTTTCCATCACCCCTCCCCATTCTCCCGCTTTCCATCACCCCGCCCCATTCTCCCGCTTTCCATCACCCTGCCCCATTCTCCCTCCTTCCATCACCGCGGCCCATTCTCCCGCTTTCCATCAGCCCGCCCCATTCTCCCGCTTTCCATCACCCCGCCCCATTTTCCCGCTTTCCATCACCTCGCCCCATTCTCCCGCTTTCCATCACCCCGCCCCATTCTCCCGCTTTCCATCACCCCGCCCCATTCTCCCGCTTTCCATCAAAGCGCCCCATTCTCCCGATTTCCATCACCCCGCCCCATTCTCCCGCTTTCCATCACCCCGCCCCATTCTCCCGCTTTCCATCACCCCACCCCATTCTCCCGCTTTCCATCACCCCGCCCCATTCTCCCGCTTTCCATCACCCCGCCACATTCTCCCTCCTTCCATCACCCCGCCCCATTCTCCCGCTTTCCATCACCCCGCCCCATTCTCCCGCTTTCCATCACCCCACCCCATTCTCCCGCTCTCCATCACCCCGCCCCATTCTCCCTCCTTTCATCACCCCGCCCATTCTCCCTCCTTCCATCGCCCCGGCCCATTCTCCCGCTTTCCATCACCCCGCCCCAATCTCCCGCTTACCATCACCTCGCCCCATTCTCCCGCTTTCCATCACCCCGCCCCATTCTCCCGCTTTCCATCACCCCGCCCAATTCTCCCTCCTTCCATCACCCCGCCCCATTCTCCCTCCTTCCATCACCCCGCCCCATTCTCCTCCTCTTTCCATCACCCCGCCCCATTCTCCCGCCTTCCGTCACCCCGCCCCATTCTCCCGCTTCCCATCACCCCGCCCCATTCTCCCTCCTTCCATCACCCCGCCCCATTCTCCCGCTTTCCATCAACCCGGCCCATTCTCCCGCTTTCCATCGCCCCGCCCCATTCTCCCGCTTTCCATCGCCCCGCTCCATTCTCCCTCCTTCCATCACCCCGCCCCATTCTCCCTCCTTCCATCACCCCGCCCCATTCTCACGCTTTCCATCACCCCGCCCCATTCTCCCGCTTTCCATCACCCCGCCCCATTCTCCCGCTTTCCATCACCCCGCCCCATTCTCCCGCTTTCCATCACCCCGCCCCATTCTCCCGCTTTCCATCACCCCGCCCCATTCTCCCGCTTTCCATCACCCCGCCCCATTCTCCCGCTTTCCATCACCCCGCCCCATTCTCCCTCCTTCCATCACCCCGCCCCATTCTCCTGCTTTCCATCACCCCGCCCCATTCTCCCGCTTTCCATCACCCCGCCCCATTCTCCCGCTTTCCATCACCCCGCCCCATTCTCCCGCCTTCCGTCACCCCGCCCCATTCTCCCGCTTTCCATCACCCCGCCCCATTCTCCCTCCTTCCATCACCCCGCCCCATTCTCCCGCTTTCCATCAACCCGGCCCATTCTCCCGCTTTCCATCACCCCGCCCCATTCTCCCGCTTTCCATCGCCCCGCTCCATTCTCCCTCCTTCCATCGCCCCGCCCCATTCTCCCTCCTTCCATCACCCCGCCCCATTCTCACGCTTTCCATCACCCCGCCCCATTTTCCCGCTTTCCATCACCCCGCCCCATTCTCCCGCTTTCCATCACCCCGCCCCATTCTCCCGCTTTCCATCACCCCGCCCCATTCTCCCGCTTTCCATCACCCTGCCCCATTCTCCCGCTTTCCATCACCCCGCCCCATTCTCCCGCTTTCCATCACCCCGCCCCATTCTCCTGCTTTCCATCACCCCGCCCCATTCTCCCTCCTTCCATCACCCCGCCCCATTCTCCTGCTTTCCATCAACCCGCCCCATTCTCCCGCTTTCCATCCTCCCGCCCCATTCTCCCGCTTTCCATCGCCCTGCCCCATTCTCCCGCTTTCCATCGCCCCGCCACATTCTCCCTCCTTCCATCACCCCGCCCCATTCTCCCGCTTTCCATCACCCCGCCCCATTCTCCCGCTTTCCATCAAACCGCCCCATTCTCCCGCTTTCCATCACCCCGCCCCATTCTCCCGCTTTCCATCACCCCGCCCCATTCTCCCGCTTTCCATCACCCCACCCCATTCTCCCGCTTTCCATCACCCCGCCCCATTCTCCCGCTTTCCATCACCCAGCCCCATTCTCCCTCCTTCCATCACCCCGCCCCATTCTCCCTCCTTCCATCACCCCGCCCCATTCTCCGTCCTTCCATCACCCCGCCCGGTTCTCCCGCTTTCCATCACCCCCTTCCACTCTCCCGCTTTCCATCACCCCGCCCTATTCTCCCGCTTTCCATCACGCCGCCCCATTCTCCCGCTTTCCATCAACCCATCCTATTCTCCCGCTTTCCATCACCCCGCCCCATTCTCCCTCCATCCATCACCCCGCCCCATTCTCCCTCCTTCCATCACCCCGCCCCATTCTCCCTCCTTCCATCACCCCGCCCCATTCTCCCTCCTTCCATCACCCCGCCCCATTCTCCCGCTTTCCATCACCCCGCCCCATTCTCCCGCTTTCCATCACCCCGCCCCATTCTCCCGCTTTCCATCACCCCACCCCATTCTCCCGCTTTCCGTCACCCCGCCCCATTCTCCCGCTTTCCACCATCCCGCCCCATTCTCCCGCTTTCCATCACCCCGCCCCATTCTCCCGCTTTCAATCACCCTGCCCCATTCTCCCGCTTTCCATAAACCTGCCCCCTTCTCCCGCTTTCCATCACCCCGCCCCGTTCTCCCGCTTTCCATCACCCCGCCCCATACTCCCGCTTTCCATCACCCCGCCCCATACTCCCGCTTTCCATCACCCCGCCCCATTCTCCCTCCTTCCATCACCCCAGCCCCATTCTCCCTCCTTCCATCACCCCAGCCCATTCTCCCGCTTTCCATCACCCCGCCCCATTCTCCCGCTTTCCATCACCCCGCCCCATTCTCCCGCTTTCCATCACCCCGCCCCATTCTCCCGCTTTCCATCACCCCGCCCCATTCTCCCTCCTTCCATCACCCCGCCCCATTCTCCCTCCTTCCATCACCCCGCCCCATTCTCCCGCTTTCCATCACCACGCCCCATTCTCCCGGCTTCCATCACCCCGCCCCATTCTCCCTCCTTCCATCACCCCGCCCCATTCTCCCGCTTTCCATCACCACGCCCCATTCTCCCGCTTTTCATCACCCTGCCCCATTCTTCCGCTTTCCATCACCCCGCCCCATTCTCCCTCCTTCCATCACCCCGCCCCATTCTCCAGCTTTCCATCACCCCGCCCCATTCTCCCGCTTTCCATCACCCCGCCCCATTCTCCCGCTTTCCATCACCCCGCCCCATTCTCCCGCTTTCCATCACCCCGCCCCATTCTCCCTCCTTCCATCACCCCGCCCATTCTCCCTCGTTCCATCAACCCGGCCCATTCTCCCGCTTTCCATCACCCCGCCCCATTCTCCCGCTTTCCATCACCCCGCCCCATTCTCCCGCTTTCCATCACCCCGCCCCATTCTCCCGCTTTCCATCACCCCGCCCCATTCTCCCTCCTTCCATCACCCCGCCCCATTCTCCCTCCTTCCATCACCCCGCCCCATTCTCCCGCTTTCCATCACCACGCCCCATTCTCCCGGCTTCCATCACCCCGCCCCATTCTCCCTCCTTCCATCACCCCGCCCCATTCTCCCGCTTTCCATCACCACGCCCCATTCTCCCGCTTTTCATCACCCTGCCCCATTCTTCCGCTTTCCATCACCCCGCCCCATTCTCCCTCCTTCCATCACCCCGCCCCATTCTCCAGCTTTCCATCACCCCGCCCCATTCTCCCGCTTTCCATCACCCCGCCCCATTCTCCCGCTTTCCATCACCCCGCCCCATTCTCTCGCTTTCCATGACCCCGCCCCATTCTCCCGCTTTCCATCACCCCGCCCCATTCTCCCGCTTTCCATCACCCCGCCCCATTCTCCCGCTTTCCATCACCTCGCCCCGTTCTCCCGCTTTCCATCACCCCGCCCCATTCTCCCGCTTTCCATCACCCCGCCCCATTCTCCCTCCTTCCATCACCCCGCCCCATTCTCCCTCTTTCCATCACCCCGCCCCATTCTCCCGCTTTCCATCACCCAGCCCCATTCTCCCTCCTTCCATGACCCCGCCCCATTCTCCCTCCTTCCATCACCCCGCCCCATTCTCCCGCTTTCCATCACCCCGCCCCATTCTCCCGCTTTCCATCACCCCGCCCCATTCTCCCTCCTTCCATCACCCCGCCCCATTCTCCCTCCTTCCATCACCCCGCCCCATTCTCCCGCTTTCCATCACCACGCCCCATTCTCCCGGCTTCCATCACCCCGCCCCATTCTCCCTCCTTCCATCACCCCGCCCCATTCTCCCGCTTTCCATCACCACGCCCCATTCTCCCGCTTTTCATCACCCTGCCCCATTCTTCCGCTTTCCATCACCCCGCCCCATTCTCCCTCCTTCCATCACCCCGCCCCATTCTCCAGCTTTCCATCACCCCGCCCCATTCTCCCGCTTTCCATCACCCCGCCCCATTCTCCCGCTTTCCATCACCCCGCCCCATTCTCTCGCTTTCCATGACCCCGCCCCATTCTCCCGCTTTCCATCACCCCGCCCCATTCTCCCGCTTTCCATCACCCCGCCCCATTCTCCCGCTTTCCATCACCTCGCCCCGTTCTCCCGCTTTCCATCACCCCGCCCCATTCTCCCGCTTTCCATCACCCCGCCCCATTCTCCCTCCTTCCATCACCCCGCCCCATTCTCCCTCTTTCCATCACCCCGCCCCATTCTCCCGCTTTCCATCACCCAGCCCCATTCTCCCTCCTTCCATGACCCCGCCCCATTCTCCCTCCTTCCATCACCCCGCCCCATTCTCCCGCTTTCCATCACCCCGCCCCATTCTCCCGCCTTCCATCACCCCGCCCCATTCTCCCGCTTTCCATCACCCCGCCCCATTCTCCCGCTTTCCATCACCCCGCCCCATTCTCTCGCTTTCCATCACCCCGCCCCATTCTCCCGCTTTCCATCACCCCGCCCCATTCTCCCGCTTTCCATCACCCCGCCCCATTCTCCCGCTTTCCATCACCTCGCCCCATTCTCCCGCTTTCCATCACCCCGCCCCATTCTCCCGCTTTCCATCACCCCGCCCCATTCTCCCTACTTCCATCACCCCGCCCCATTCTCCCTCCTTCCATCACCCCACCCCTTTCTCCCGCTTTCCATCACCCCGCCCCATTCTCCCTCTTTCCATCACCCCGCCCCATTCTCCCGCTTTCCATCACCCCGCCCCATTCTCCCTCCTTCCATGACCCCGCCCCATTCTCCCTCCTTCCATCACCCCGCCCCATTCTCCAGCTTTCCATCACCCCGCCCCATTCTCCCGCTTTCCATCACCCCGCCCCATTCTCCCACTTTCCACCACCCCGCCCCATTCTCCCTCCCATCACCCCGCCCCATTCTCCCTCCTTCCATCACCCCACCCCATTCTCCCGCTTTCCATCACCCCGCCCCATTCTCCCGCTTTCCATCACCCCGCCCCATTCTCCCGCTTTCCATCACCCCGCCCCATTCTCCCGCTTCGCATCCCCCCGCCCCATTCTCCCGCTTTCCATCACCCCGCCCCATTCTCCCGCTTTCCATCACCCCGCCCCATTCTCCCTCCTTCCATCACCCCGCCCCATTCTCCCTCCTTCCATCACCCCGCCCCATTCTCCCTCCTTCCATCACCCCGCCCCATTCTCCCGCTTTCCATCACCCCGCCCCATTCTCCCGCTTTCCATCACCCCGCCCCATTCTCCCGCTTTCCATCACCCCACCCCATTCTCCCGCTTTCCGTCACCCCGCCCCATTCTCCCGCTTTCCACCATCCCGCCCCATTCTCCCGCTTTCCATCACCCCGCCCCATTCTCCCGCTTTCAATCACCCTGCCCCATTCTCCCGCTTTCCATAAACCTGCCCCCTTCTCCCGCTTTCCATCACCCCGCCCCGTTCTCCCGCTTTCCATCACCCCGCCCCATACTCCCGCTTTCCATCACCCCGCCCCATACTCCCGCTTTCCATCACCCCGCCCCATTCTCCCTCCTTCCATCACCCCAGCCCCATTCTCCCTCCTTCCATCACCCCAGCCCATTCTCCCGCTTTCCATCACCCCGCCCCATTCTCCCGCTTTCCATCACCCCGCCCCATTCTCCCGCTTTCCATCACCCCGCCCCATTCTCCCGCTTTCCATCACCTCGCCCCGTTCTCCCGCTTTCCATCACCCCGCCCCATTCTCCCGCTTTCCATCACCCCGCCCCATTCTCCCTCCTTCCATCACCCCGCCCCATTCTCCCTCCTTCCATCACCCCGCCCCATTCTCCCGCTTTCCATCACCACGCCCCATTCTCCCGGCTTCCATCACCCCGCCCCATTCTCCCTCCTTCCATCACCCCGCCCCATTCTCCCGCTTTCCATCACCACGCCCCATTCTCCCGCTTTTCATCACCCTGCCCCATTCTTCCGCTTTCCATCACCCCGCCCCATTCTCCCTCCTTCCGTCACCCCGCCCCATTCTCCAGCTTTCCATCACCCCGCCCCATTCTCCCGCTTTCCATCACCCCGCCCCATTCTCCCGCTTTCCATCACCCCGCCCCATTCTCTCGCTTTCCATGACCCCGCCCCATTCTCCCGCTTTCCATCACCCCGCCCCATTCTCCCGCTTTCCATCACCCCGCCCCATTCTCCCGCTTTCCATCACCTCGCCCCGTTCTCCCGCTTTCCATCACCCCGCCCCATTCTCCCGCTTTCCATCACCCCGCCCCATTCTCCCTCCTTCCATCACCCCGCCCCATTCTCCCTCTTTCCATCACCCCGCCCCATTCTCCCGCTTTCCATCACCCAGCCCCATTCTCCCTCCTTCCATGACCCCGCCCCATTCTCCCTCCTTCCATCACCCCGCCCCATTCTCCCGCTTTCCATCACCCCGCCCCATTCTCCCGCCTTCCATCACCCCGCCCCATTCTCCCGCTTTCCATCACCCCGCCCCATTCTCCCGCTTTCCATCACCCCGCCCCATTCTCTCGCTTTCCATCACCCCGCCCCATTCTCCCGCTTTCCATCACCCCGCCCCATTCTCCCGCTTTCCATCACCCCGCCCCATTCTCCCGCTTTCCATCACCTCGCCCCATTCTCCCGCTTTCCATCACCCCGCCCCATTCTCCCGCTTTCCATCACCCCGCCCCATTCTCCCTACTTCCATCACCCCGCCCCATTCTCCCTCCTTCCATCACCCCACCCCTTTCTCCCGCTTTCCATCACCCCGCCCCATTCTCCCTCTTTCCATCACCCCGCCCCATTCTCCCGCTTTCCATCACCCCGCCCCATTCTCCCTCCTTCCATGACCCCGCCCCATTCTCCCTCCTTCCATCACCCCGCCCCTTTCTCCAGCTTTCCATCACCCCGCCCCATTCTCCCGCTTTCCATCACCCCGCCCCATTCTCCCACTTTCCACCACCCCGCCCCATTCTCCCTCCCATCACCCCGCCCCATTCTCCCTCCTTCCATCACCCCACCCCATTCTCCCGCTTTCCATCACCCCGCCCCATTCTCCCGCTTTCCATCACCCCGCCCCATTCTCCCGCTTTCCATCACCCCGCCCCATTCTCCCGCTTCGCATCCCCCCGCCCCATTCTCCCGCTTTCCATCACCCCGCCCCATTCTCCCGCTTTCCATCACCCCGCCCCATTCTCCCTCCTTCCATCACCCCGCCCCATTCTCCCGCTTTCCATCACCCCGCCCCATTCTCCCGCTTTCCATCACCCCGCCCCATTCTCCCGCTTTCCATCACCCCGCCCCATTCTCCCGCTTTCCATCACCCCGCCCCATTCTCCCTCCTTCCATCACCCCGCCCCATTCTCCCTCCTTCCATCACCCCGCCCCATTCTCCCTCTTTCCATCACCCCGCCCCATTCTCCCTCTTTCCATCACCCCGCCCCATTCTACCTCTTTCCATCACCCCGCCCCATTCTCTCTCTTTCCATCACCCCGCCCCATTCTCCCTCTTTCCATGACCCCGCCCCATTCTCCCTCTTTCCATCACCCCGCCCCATTCTCCCTTTCTCCATCACCCCGCCCCATTTTCCCTCTTTCCATCACCCCACCCCATTCTCCCGCTTTCCATCACCCCGCCCCATTCTCCTGCTTTCCATCACCCCGCCCCATTCTCCCTCCTTCCATCACCCCGCCCCATTCTCCCTCCTTCCATCACCCCACCCCATTCTCCCGCTTTCCATCACCCCGCCCCATTCTCCCTCTTTCCATCACCCCGCCCCATTCTCCCACCTTCCATCACCCCGCCTCATTCTCCCTCCTTCCATGACCCCGCCCCATTCTCCCTCCTTCCATCACCCCGCCCCATTCTCCCGCTTTCCATCAGCCCGCCCCATTCTCCCGCTTTCCATCACCCCGCCCCATTCTCCCACTTTCCATCACCCCGCCCCATTCTCCCTCCCATCACCCCGCCCCATTCTCCCTCCTTCCATCACCCCACCCCATTCTCTCGCTTTCCATCACCCCGCCCCATTCTCCCGCTTTCCATCACCCCGCCCCATTCTCCCGCTTTCCATCACCCCGCCCCATTCTCCCGCTTTGCATTCCCCCGCCCCATTCTTCCGCTTTCCATCACCCCGCCCCATTCTCCCGCTTTCCATCACCCCGCCCCATTCTCCCTTCTTCCATCACCCCGCCCCATTCTGCCGCTTTCCATCACCCCGCCCTATTCTCCCGCATTCCATCACCCCGCCCCATTCTCCCGCTTTCCATCACCCCGCCCCATTCTCCCGCTTTCCATCACCCCGCCCCATTCTCCCTCCTTCCATCACCCCGCCCCATTCTCCCTCCTTCCATCAACCCCCCCCATTCTCCCTCTTTCCATCACCCCGCCCCATTCTCCCTCTTTCCATCACCCCGCCCCATTCTCCCGCTTTCCATCACCCCGCCCCATTCTCCCTCTTTCCATCACCCCGCCCCATTCTCCCTCTTTCCATCACCCCGCCCCATTCTCCCTCTCTCCATCACCCCGCCCCGTTTTCCCTCTTTCCATCACCCCACCCCATTCTCCCTCTTTCCATCACCCCGCCCCATTCTCCCTCTTTCCATAACCCCGCCCCATTCTCACTCTTTCCATCACCCCGCCCCATTCTCCCTCTTTCCATCACCCCGCCCCATTCTCCCGCTTTCCATCACCCCGCCCCATTCTCCTGCTTTCCATCACCCCGCCCCATTCTCCCTCTTTCCATCACCCCGCCCCATTCTCCCTCTTTCCATCACCCCGCCCCATTCTCCCGCTTTCCATCACCCTGCCCCATTCTCCTTCTTTCCATCACCCCGCCCCATTCTCCCGCTTTCCATCACCCCGCCCCATTCTCCCTCTCTCCATCACCCCGCCCCGTTTTCCCGCTTTCCATCACCCCGCCCCATTCTCCCTCTTGCCATCACCCCGCCCCATTCTCCCTCTTTCCATCACCCCGCCCCATTCTCCCTCCTTCCATCACCCCGCCCCATTCTCCCTCTTTCCATCACCCCACCCGATTCTCCCGCTTTCCATCACCCCGCCCCATTCTCCCGCTTTCCATCACCACGCCCCATTCTCCCGCTTTCCATCACCCCGCCCCATTTTCCCGCTTTCCATCACCCCGCCCCATTCTCCCTTCTTCCATCACCCCGCCCCATTCTGCCGCTTTCCATCACCCCGCCCTATTCTCCCGCATTCCATCACCCCGCCCCATTCTCCCGCTTTCCATCACCCCGCCCCATTCTCCCGCTTTCCATCACCCCGCCCCATTCTCCCTCCTTCCATCACCCCGCCCCATTCTCCCTCCTTCTATCAACCCCCCCCATTCTCCCTCTTGCCATCACCCCGCCCCATTCTCCCTCTTTCCATCACCCCGCCCCATTCTCCCGCTTTCCATCACCCCGCCCCATTCTCCCTCTTTCCATCACCCCGCCCCATTCTCCCTCTTTCCATCACCCCGCCCCATTCTCCCTCTCTCCATCACCCCGCCCCATTTTCCCTCTTTTCATCACCCCACCCCATTCTCCCTCTTTCCATCACCCCGCCCCATTCTCCCTCTTTCCATAACCCCGCCCCATTCTCACTCTGTCCATCACCCCGCCCCATTCTACCTCTTTCCATCACCCCGCCCCATTCTCCCGCTTTCCATCACCCCGCCCCATTCTCCTGCTTTCGATCACACCGCCCCATTCTCCCTCTTTCCATCACCCCGCCCCATTCTCCCTCTTTCCATCACCCCGCCCCATTCTCCCGCTTTCCATCACCCTGCCCCATTCTCCTTCTTTCCATCACCCCGCCCCATTCTCCCGCTTTCCATCACCCCGCCCCATTCTCCCTCTCTCCATCACCCCGCCCCGTTTTCCCGCTTTCCATCACCCCGCCCCATTCTCCCTCTTGCCATCACCCCGCCCCATTCTCCCACTTTCCATCACCCCGCCCCATTCTCCCTCCTTCCATCACCCCGCCCCATTCTCCCTCTTTCCATCACCCCACCCGATTCTCCCGCTTTCCATCACCCCGCCCCATTCTCCCGCTTTCCATCACCACGCCCCATTCTCCCGCTTTCCATCACCCCGCCCCATTCTCCCGCTTTCCATCACCCCGCCCCATTCTCCCTCTTTCCATCACCCCGCCCCATTCTCCCGTTTTCCATCACCCCGACCCATTCTCCCACTTTCCATCACCCCGCCCCATTCTCCCGCTTTCCATCACCCCGCCCCATTCTCCCGCTTTCCATCACCCCGCCTCATTCTCCCTCTTTCCATCACCCTGCCCCATTCTCCCTCTTTCCATCACCCCGCCCCATTCTCCCTCTTTCCATCACCCCGCCCCATTCTCCCTCTTTCCATCACCCCGCCCCATTCTCCCTATTTCCATCACCCCGCCCCATTCTCCCTATTTCCATCACTCCGCCCCCTTCTCTCTCTTTCCATCACCTCGCCCCATTCTCTCTCTTTCCATCACCCCGCCCCATTCTCCCGCTTTCCATCACCCCGCCCCATTCTCCCGCTTTCCATCACCCCGCCCCATTCTCCCGCTTTCCATCACCCCGCCCCATTCTCCCGCTTTCCATCACCCCGCCCCATTCTCCCGCTTTCCATCACCCCGCCCCATTCTCCCGCTTTCCATCACCCGCCCCATTCTCCCTCTTGCCATCACCCCGCCCCATTCTCCCTCTTGCCATCACCCCGCCCCATTCTCCCTCTTGCCATCACCCCGCCCCATTCTCCCTCTCTCCATCACCCCGCCTAATTCTCCTGCTCTCCATCACCCCACCCCATTCTCCCGCTCTCAATCACCCCGCCCCATTCTCCCGCTCTCCATCACCCCGCCCCATTCTCCCGCTCTCCATCACCCCGCCACATTCTCCCTCTCTCCATCACCCCGCCACATTCTCCCGCTCTCCATCACCCCGCCCCATTCTCCCGCTCTCCATCACCCCGCCCCATTCTCCCTCTTTCCATCACCCCGCCCCATTCTCCCTCTTTCCATCACCCCGCCCCATTCTCCCTCTTTCCATCACCCCGCCCCATTCTCCCTCTTTCCATCACCCCGCCCCATTCTCCCTCTTTCCATCACCCCGCCCCATTCTCCCGCTCTCCATCACCCCGCCCCATTCTCCCTCTTTCCATCACCCCGCCCCATTCTCCCGCTCTCCATCACCCCGCCACATTCTCCCTCTCTCCATCAACCCGCCCCATTCTCCCGCTCTCCATCACCCCGCTCCATTCTCCCGCTCTCCATCACCCCGCCCCATTCTCCCGCTCTCCATCACCCCGCCCCATTCTCCCGCTTTCCATCACCCCAACCCATTCTCCCGCTTTCCATCACCCCGCCCCATTCTCCCGCTTTCCATCACCCCGCCCCATTCTCCCGCTTTCCATCACCCCGCCCCATTCTCCCTCTTTCCATAACCCCGCCCCATTCTCCCTCTTTCCATCACCCCGCCCCATTCTCCCGCTTTCCATCACCCCCGCCCCATTCTCCCGCTTTCCATCACTCCGCCCCTTTCTCCCGCTTTCCATCACCCCGCCCCATTCTCCCTCTTTCCATCACCTCGTCTCTTTCTCCCGCTTTCCATCACCCCGCCCCATTCTCTCTCTTTCTATCACCCTGCCCTATTCTCTCGCATTCCATCACCCCGCCCCATTCTCCCTCCTTCCATCACCCCGCCCCATTCTCCCGCTTTCCATCACCCCACCCCATTCTCCCGCTTTCCATCACCCCGCCCCATTCTCCCGCTTTCCATCACTCCGGCCCTTTCTCCCGCTTTCCATCACCCCGCCCCATTCTCCCTCTTTCCATCACCCCGTCCCTTTCTCCCGCGTTCCATCACCCTGCCCCATTCTCCCTCTTTCTATCACCCCGCCCTATTCTCCCGCTTTCCATCACCTTGCCCCATTCTTCCTCTTTCCATCACCCCGCCCTATTCTCCCGCTTTCCATCACCCCGCCCCATTCTCCCGCTTTCCATCACCACGCCCCATTCTCCCGCTTTCCATCACCCCGCCCCATTCTCCCTCTCTCCATCACCCCGCCCCGTTTTCCCGCTTTCCATCACCCCGCCCCATTCTCCCTCTCTCCATCACCCCGCCTCATTCTCCTGCTCTCCATCACCCCGTTCCATTCTCCCGCTCTCCATCACCCCCCCTTAAACCCTCTTTCCATCACCCCGCCCCATTCTCCCGCTCTCCATCACCCTGCCACATTCTCCCTCTCTCCATCACCCCGCCCCATTCTCCCGCTCTTCATCACCCCGCCCCACCACATTCTCCCTCTCTCTATCACCCCGCCCCATTCTCCCGCTCTCCATCACCCCGCCCCATTCTCCCGCTCTCCATCACCCCGCCCCATTCTCCCGCTCTCCATCACCCCGCCCCATTCTCCCGCTTTCCATCACCCCGACCCATTCTCCCGCTTTCCATCACCCCGCCTCATTCTCCCGCTTTCCATCACCCCGCCCCATTCTCCCGCTTTCCATCACCCCGCCCCAATCTCCCTCTTTCCATCACCCCACCCCATTCTCCCTCTTTCGATCACCCCACCCCATTCTCCCGCATTCCATCACCCCGCCCCATTCTCCCGCTTTCCATCACTCCGCCCCTTTCTCCCGCATTCCATCACCCCGCCCCATTCTCCCGCTTTCCATCACCCCGCCCCATTCTCCCGCTTTCCATCACCCCGCCCCATTCTCCCTCCTTCCATCACCCTGCCCCATTCTCCCTCCTTCCATCAACCCCCCCCATTCTCCCTCTTTCCATCACCCCGCCCCATTCTCCCTCTTTCCATCACCCCGCCCCATTCTCCCGCTTTCCATCACCCCGCCCCATTCTCCCTCTTTCCATCACCCCGCCCCATTCTCCCTCTTTCCATCACCCCGCCCCATTCTCCCTCTCTCCATCACCCCGCCCCATTTTCCCTCTTTCCATCACCCCACCCCATTCTCCCTCTTTCCATCACCCCGCCCCATTCTCCCTCTTTCCATAACCCCGCCCCATTCTCACTCTTTCCATCACCCCGCCCCATTCTCCCTCTTTCCATCACCCCGCCCCATTCTCCCGCTTTCCATCACCCCGCCCCATTCTCCTGCTTTCCATCACCCCGCCCCATTCTCCCTCTTTCCATCACCCCGCCCCATTCTCCCTCTTTCCATCACCCCGCCCCATTCTCCCGCTTTCCATCACCCTGCCCCATTCTCCTTCTTTCCATCACCCCGCCCCATTCTCCCGCTTTCCATCACCCCGCCCCATTCTCCCTCTCTCCATCACCCCGCCCCGTTTTCCCGCTTTCCATCACCCCGCCCCATTCTCCCTCTTGCCATCACCCCGCCCCATTCTCCCTCTTTCCATCACCCCGCCCCATTCTCCCTCCTTCCATCACCCCGCCCCATTCTCCCTCTTTCCATCACCCCACCCGATTCTCCCGCTTTCCATCACCCCGCCCCATTCTCCCGCTTTCCATCACCACGCCCCATTCTCCCGCTTTCCATCACCCCGCCCCATTCTCCCGCTTTCCATCACCCCGCCCCATTCTCCCTTCTTCCATCACCCCGCCCCATTCTGCCGCTTTCCATCACCCCGCCCTATTCTCCCGCATTCCATCACCCCGCCCCATTCTCCCGCTTTCCATCACCCCGCCCCATTCTCCCGCTTTCCATCACCCCGCCCCATTCTCCCTCCTTCCATCACCCCGCCCCATTCTCCCTCCTTCCATCAACCCCCCCCATTCTCCCTCTTGCCATCACCCCGCCCCATTCTCCCTCTTTCCATCACCCCGCCCCATTCTCCCGCTTTCCATCACCCCGCCCCATTCTCCCTCTTTCCATCACCCCGCCCCATTCTCCCTCTTTCCATCACCCCGCCCCATTCTCCCTCTCTCCATCACCCCGCCCCATTTTCCCTCTTTTCATCACCCCACCCCATTCTCCCTCTTTCCATCACCCCGCCCCATTCTCCCTCTTTCCATAACCCCGCCCCATTCTCACTCTGTCCATCACCCCGCCCCATTCTACCTCTTTCCATCACCCCGCCCCATTCTCCCTCTTTCCATCACCCCGCCCCATTCTCCTGCTTTCGATCACACCGCCCCATTCTCCCTCTTTCCATCACCCCGCCCCATTCTCCCTCTTTCCATCACCCCGCCCCATTCTCCCGCTTTCCATCACCCTGCCCCATTCTCCTTCTTTCCATCACCCCGCCCCATTCTCCCGCTTTCCATCACCCCGCCCCATTCTCCCTCTCTCCATCACCCCGCCCCGTTTTCCCGCTTTCCATCACCCCGCCCCATTCTCCCTCTTGCCATCACCCCGCCCCATTCTCCCACTTTCCATCACCCCGCCCCATTCTCCCTCCTTCCATCACCCCGCCCCATTCTCCCTCTTTCCATCACCCCACCCGATTCTCCCGCTTTCCATCACCCCGCCCCATTCTCCCGCTTTCCATCACCACGCCCCATTCTCCCGCTTTCCATCACCCCGCCCCATTCTCCCGCTTTCCATCACCCCGCCCCATTCTCCCTCTTTCCATCACCCCGCCCCATTCTCCCGTTTTCCATCACCCCGACCCATTCTCCCACTTTCCATCACCCCGCCCCATTCTCCCGCTTTCCATCACCCCGCCCCATTCTCCCGCTTTCCATCACCCCGCCCCATTCTCCCTCTTTCCATCACCCTGCCCCATTCTCCCTCTTTCCATCACCCCGCCCCATTCTCCCTCTTTCCATCACCCCGCCCCATTCTCCCTCTTTCCATCACCCCGCCCCATTCTCCCTATTTCCATCACCCCGCCCCATTCTCCCTATTTCCATCACTCCGCCCCCTTCTCTCTCTTTCCATCACCTCGCCCCATTCTCTCTCTTTCCATCACCCCGCCCCATTCTCCCGCTTTCCATCACCCTGCCCCATTCTCCCGCTTTCCATCACCCCGCCCCATTCTCCCGCTTTCCATCACCCCGCCCCATTCTCCCGCTTTCCATCACCCCGCCCCATTCTCCCGCTTTCCATCACCCCGCCCCATTCTCCCTCTTGCCATCACCCCGCCCCATTCTCCCTCTTGCCATCACCCCGCCCCATTCTCCCTCTTGCCATCACCCCGCCCCATTCTCCCTCTCTCCATCACCCCGCCTAATTCTCCTGCTCTCCATCACCCCACCCCATTCTCCCGCTCTCAATCACCCCGCCCCATTCTCCCGCTCTCCATCACCCCGCCCCATTCTCCCGCTCTCCATCACCCCGCCACATTCTCCCTCTCTCCATCACCCCGCCACATTCTCCCGCTCTCCATCACCCCGCCCCATTCTCCCGCTCTCCATCACCCCGCCCCATTCTCCCTCTTTCCATCACCCCGCCCCATTCTCCCTCTTTCCATCACCCCGCCCCATTCTCCCTCTTTCCATCACCCCGCCCCATTCTCCCTCTTTCCATCACCCGCCCCATTCTCCCTCTTTCCATCACCCCGCCCCATTCTCCCGCTCTCCATCACCCCGCCCCATTCTCCCTCTTTCCATCACCCCGCCCCATTCTCCCGCTCTCCATCACCCCGCCACATTCTCCCTCTCTCCATCACCCCGCCCCATTCTCCCGCTCTCCATCACCCCGCTCCATTCTCCCGCTCTCCATCACCCCGCCCCATTCTCCCGCTCTCCATCACCCCGCCCCATTCTCCCGCTTTCCATCACCCCAACCCATTCTCCCGCTTTCCATCACCCCGCCCCATTCTCCCGCTTTCCATCACCCCGCCCCATTCTCCCGCTTTCCATCACCCCGCCCCATTCTCCCTCTTTCCATAACCCCGCCCCATTCTCCCTCTTTCCATCACCCCGCCCCATTCTCCCGCTTTCCATCACCCCGCCCTATTCTCCCGCTTTCCATCACTCCGCCCCTTTCTCCCGCTTTCCATCACCCCGCCCCATTCTCCCTCTTTCCATCACCTCGTCTCTTTCTCCCGCTTTCCATCACCCCGCCCCATTCTCTCTCTTTCTATCACCCTGCCCTATTCTCTCGCATTCCATCACCCCGCCCCATTCTCCCTCCTTCCATCACCCCGCCCCATTCTCCCGCTTTCCATCACCCCACCCCATTCTCCCGCTTTCCATCACCCCGCCCCATTCTCCCGCTTTCCATCACTCCGGCCCTTTCTCCCGCTTTCCATCACCCCGCCCCATTCTCCCTCTTTCCATCACCCCGTCCCTTTCTCCCGCGTTCCATCACCCTGCCCCATTCTCCCTCTTTCTATCACCCCGCCCTATTCTCCCGCTTTCCATCACCTTGCCCCATTCTTCCTCTTTCCATCACCCCGCCCTATTCTCCCGCTTTCCATCACCCCGCCCCATTCTCCCGCTTTCCATCACCACGCCCCATTCTCCCGCTTTCCATCACCCCGCCCCATTCTCCCTCTCTCCATCACCCCGCCCCGTTT